TAGCTGGGCATGGTGGCGTGTGCCTGTAATCCCAGCTACTCGGGAGGCTGAGGCAGGAGAATTGCCTGAACCCAGGAGGTGGAGGTTGCGGTGAGCCGAGATCGCGCCATTGCACTCCAGCCTGGGTAACAAGAGCAAAACTCTGTCTCAAAAAAAAAAAAAAAGAAAGAAAGATGCTGTGCCTTTTCCGGCGCTGCACCAGACACGCATCTTCCAAGTCCCTCACCCTCCACACATGGACTTTAAAGTTCTGTTGGAAGCAGCATAGTTCTAGGTCCTGCTACAGACATGCTGGAGTCCTGGGCTTGGAAAAATGGGGGGACTGTGCGCCTGGGCAGTGTGAGTGCTAGGAGTTGTCAGGCAGTGACACCTCAGAGAGGAGGACACGCAAGCCACAGCCAGACACGTCCTGCCCACGGCGCACCTGCTCCAATCCCCGCTTTCCCTCACCGCCACCACAAGCCCAGCACGTGCCTCTACCTGCAACTCACGCGTCACTTCCCTCCTGGCCAAATATTCCACCCTTCTCTTGGGTCAGAATCTATTTTTTAATCTATCGATTGTTAATCTATTCAAATCAGCAATCAGAAACTAGACCGAAAGGAGGCAAGGATCCAGAACTGAACAACACTATCAGACAACAGGAGCCATCCACCCACTGCCAGCAGGATACACACTCTTTTCAAGTGACGTGGGGCATTTGCCAAGACAGACCATATCCTGGGCGGTCAATCAAACATTAACACATTTAAACACAGAATTAAACCATATAAAGTATATTCTCTGATCACGGTGCAATCAGGCTAGAAATCCGTAACATATAATAGGAAAATGTCCAAGTACTTGGAAACTAAAAACACACTTCTCTTTTTCTTGTACAGAAATGTTCACAGCAGTTTTATTCAGAAAAGCCAAAATGTGGAAACAATTCCATTTCAAAACCTAAAACACGATGGTTAATCTCCCTCTTTAAAAGTAAACTTTCAGAATGTTTCTCAGTTGAAAAATCATGTCCTTGTTCAGATGAAAGTTCTCTATGAGATCAAGATTTAAAAAAAAAAAAAAAAAACTTTTATTTTAACTTCAGGGGTACATGCGTAGGGTTCTTATATAAACTCACGTCATGGATTCTGTTGTACAGATTACTTCATCACCCAGGTAATTAGCCTAGTACTCATTAGTTATTTTTCCTGATCCTCTCCCTCCTCCCACCCTCCACCCTCAGAGAAGCCCCAGTGTCTGCTGTTTCTTTACAAAACAGACTTCTAAATAATTCATGAGTTAAAGAAAAAAATCTCAAGGGAAATTTAAAAAATACATTGAACTGAATTAAAATGAAAATATAACAAACCAAAATTCACGGGATGAAGTTAAAGAAGTACAGAAAGGAAAAGTTGCTTACATAAGAAAAGAATAGTCTCAAGTCAAAGAAGCTAAGTTCTACTTCAAAAAGAAGAAAACCAAAATAGTCCCAAAGCAAGAAAAATAAAGGAAATAAGCATAAAAGCAAAACTGATGTAACTGAGAACAAAAAGAACAGAAAAAAAACTATCCAACAAAAAGTTGGTTCTTCAAAAAGGTCAATAAAACAAACCTCTAGCAAGACTGACATAAAACGGAAGACGACACAAGTCACCGATATCGGAAATGAAACAGGGCTGTTCGTCCAGGTCCTGCAGACATCAAAAGGATTGCGAGGGAACACCGTGGACAATGCTAAACACGTCAATTTGACAACTTAAAAGAAACGGACCAATTTCTTGAAAAAGCTACCACAACTTTAACATGAAAGTGATCATTTGGATAGACTTATTAGGAAAATGAAAGAAAAGAAATCTCCTGTCCCAGAGGGTATCACTAGAGAATTCTATCAAACACTTGAAGAAGAATTAACACAAACCCTATATAATCTCTTCCAGAAAACAGAAGATGAGGGAGTGCTTCCCAAGCCATTGTATAAAGCTCATATTACCCAAGATGGTGACAAAAATAGTCCCTTAAAAATTAACATGCGGTAGCCTTAACAAAATATTAGCAAATAGAATTCAGCACTGTACAAAAGGAGGCTTTTAAAGGACTATTGTCAAACACCGTGACTAAGTGGGATTTACTCCAGGGATGCAATACTAATTCAATATTTGAAAATCAATTAATGTAACCCACCATATTGACAGACTATAGAAAACAATCATATGATCATATCAACTGATGCAGTAGAAAGGAAGTATTTGGAGAAATTCAATGCCCATTCATGGTTTTTTTTCTTTAAGTCTCATGAAACTTTTTTTTTTTTTTGAGGCGGAATTTCTCTCTCGTTACCCAGGCTGGAGTGCAATGGCGCGATCTCGGCTCACCGCAACCTCCGCCTCCTCGGTTCGGGCAATTCTCCTGCCTCAGCCTCCTGAGTAGCTGGGATTACAGGCATGTGCCACCATGCCCAGCTCAATTTTTGGGTTTTTAGTAGAAACGGGGTTTCACCATGTTGACCAGGATGGTCTCGATCTCTTGACCTCGTGATCCACCCGCCTCGGCCTCCCAAAGTGCTGGGATTACAGGCTTGAGCCACCGCGCCCGGCCGAAACTTTTTCTTTAATGTATCAAAAAACTAGGACTCAAGAGAACTTTGTCAACTAGATAAAGAACATGTGCAGAATGCCTCCAGCTAACATCACACTTTGTGGGGAAGGACTGAAGGCTTTGCCCCGAAGATCTGAAACAAGCCAGAGATGTCCATTCCCACCACTGCTGTTCAACACAGTGCTGGGAGTTCTAGCCAGTGCAACAGGCAAGAAAAAATAAACAAAAGATACTCAGATTGGACAGCAAGAATGAGCACTCTCCTTATTTGCAGATGACATGATGGTCTACATAGAAAATGCCAAAGAACCTACAAAAACAAAAAACAAAAAAGCCCAAACTTCTATAACTAAGTTCGGCAAGTCAGATAACACATCGACATACCAAAATCAATTGTATTTGTGCATTTACGTGTACTAGCAATTAAGACAGGCAAAATGAAATGCAAAAATCCTGTACCATTCAAAAGCACTCCAAAACATCAAATACTTTGTCCTAAATCTAACAAAATACATTCAGGACATGTCCTTGAACACTAGAAACCACTGACATGAGAACATAAAGAAGATCTAAATAACGAAGAGACCTATTATAGGCACGGATGGGAAGATGCAGCGTAGTCAAGATGCCAGCTCTTTCCAGATTGATGTAGCCACTTAAACTCCTACCAAATCCCAGCGGGATTTGTCTGTAGTTACAGACAAAATTATTCTAAAATGTATATAGAAAAGCAAACGAACTACAAGGCATTAAGATGAGTTAATGTCGAAAAGGAGGAATAAAGAGGTTGAATTACTTGATCCAATTTGAAGACTTATTATACAGCTATGGCAATAAAAACTGTGGGTATTGACAGAGTGACAGACACACAGATAAAACAGAGCAAAACAGAACCAGAAATAACCCACACCAGTCAAGTCAGATGATTTTTGACAACTTCATCAAAGCAATTCAGTCAAGGAAGGACAGTCTGTCCAACAAACGCTGCCGGAGTACGTGGGCATCCACAGAGGTGGGGGAAAAGAAATCAGATCTAAATCTGACATCTTGATTCTCTATAAAAATTAAAACAGATAAATTAAAATGGAAACGATGAAATTATAAAACTTTCAGAAGAACACGAAGGAGAAAATCTTCAAGATCTAGGGCTTCATGAAGAATTCTTAGACAGTACTCTAAAACATGCTCCATAAAAGAAAAATCAATAAATTGGATTTCGTCAATATTCAAAGTTTTTCCTCTGTGAAAGATGCTATTGAAAAGAAAAGATGAAGAGCAATCTAAGATTTGGGAAAAAGATCATACCTAGAATACAGAGAATGCTCAACATTCAGCAGTTAAAAAAAAAATGGAAATAAGACCAAATAATCCAATTTTTAAAGGGGCAAATAACATGAAGAGACAATTCAATGGGAAAGATCTCCTGATGGCAAATAAATAAATAAATAAAAGAGGAGTTCAATATCACTAAAAATTAGGGAAATGCAAATTAAGACAACGAGATATCAACCTATTAAATACACATCTATTAGAGCAGCTAAAAGCAAAAATAGTGAAAATACCTATTGCTGGTGAGGACACAAAGAAATGGAACCTCTCAGACATTGCTGGTGGAAACGAAGAACAGTGTCGCCACTTTGGAAAATGGTTTAATGGTTCCTTAAGCAATTAAACATACATCCATCACACAAAACCCAGCCATCACACTCCTGGGCATTTATCCCACAAAATACAATCTTATGCCCACAGAGAAACCTGTATAGAAATGTGCTTAGTCATTTTATTTGCGATAGACAAACACAGGAAACAATCAAGATGGTCCCCAATCGATGAATGACTAAAGAAACTGTAATACATTCATACCACGAACATCCATGCAGCAGTAAGACAACTGCTGACACATCTAACAACTTGAATGACCCTCAAAACCATTTTGCTGAATAAAGAAGAGCCAGTCTCAAAAGGTCAATGATTTCATACATGTAACATTCTCAAAACGACAAAAAAAAAAAAAAAAAAAAAAAAGAAAGAAAAAAAATAACCAGAAATGAAAAACAAATTAGAGACTGACCACGGTTAGAAATTTGGGGGGAAGAAAACAGATGTGACAGTCAAGGGACAGCAAGACAGGACACAAGATCCATTTTGGGTCGACGAAGCAGTTCTGTGTGTGTTGACGGCGAGGGTCATTACGTAAGCTACAAGGGATCAAATGGCACGGAGCTGTGCTCCTGGGTGGCACCCATGTTAATTTCCTGGTTTGGTATCACACTACAGTTACCAATTGTGTAACAGGTACAGGAGACCTCTCTGCACTATCTTTGCAATACTCTAGGAATTTACAATTCCTTAAAAATAAAAATGTGAAAACATATCATTACAGCATATTTTTTTCTATTGGAGTAACAAGAAACAACACTCACTTCCAATATCCGGCCTCAGCTTCTTATCATATTCTCTTAGCAACTTGTTGAGAATCAGAGTCACGTCAGTGTCTTGGGATTTTGGAGCCAAGACCCACTTTTGGTTTGATGATGAATCTTCATATTCATCCTCTTCCACCTTCCTGGACCTGCAGTTACAGCACAAAATGCAACACATAAGTTGCAGCCACGGCTCTAGGATGAGCCTTAAGTTTGTCCTATCCAAGTACCACGAAATGGGTGGAAAGTCTTCAGTACCCACAGCCCAACTACACAGGAAACTGCAAAACTTTTTTTTAAAGAAACACAAAATAGGAATAATTCCTTAAGAAGAATGCTACTACTATTAACATGGTATGCTTTTAGTAAATGCCAGAAGACCATGCCCCATCCCAGTTAAACTACAGACAACGTGACAGGTAAACAATATCAGCGGGCCAACAGCCCTCCTGGACACACGCCGAGAGCCTCTGAAGCCCACACCACCCTTGGACACACCCCGAGAGCCTCTGAAGGTCAAGGCACAAACCCTCCAGTGGTTTTCCATATGGCGACTGTATCATGTTGCTTCCAACCCTTATCCCCAAGACCTCATTTCAGTTGAAGGTGAGATTAGCTTTTGCCGAGTGAACTCATTCAAAATAGTTCAGTCTGACCCTGTGCTTGCAGATGGGAACTGGGGGGTCTAGGCTCTCGGGCATTACGAGAGGGTCTGCTTTGCCAGCAGGCTGGAGGCAAGGGCAGAGATGTCCGCACGTGGCTGGTGGAGGCCATCTTTCACGCCTCGGTCATCTCCTGCACAGCAGGCTAACACAGACATGAAGAGCTCAGCTTTCTAACAGGACTTCAGCATTCTGGCTTCTCGGTAAATGAGTCCCGGTAGACGCCTGGCCGTCTCTGAGCTTGCTCTGTGCGGGGAGGAGCCGGATAGCCTCCCTTCTGGGGGACACTCACCAACAGGAGTGCCTGAAAGGAGAGGCCCCAGGATGATCAGCTACTTCTCCTTTGTTTTGGCTTTTCGAAACAATTATGGTTTATAATTGACACACTACTCGACAGGCTGGTTCTCTCCATGAGTGAGGCCATCTCAACACCACCGTGACTTGGGCTTGGAGAGCTGTCTCTTTCGGCCTTGAAGCAGCATTTCCAGGCAGCCTACCACTGACCCCGGCAAGAAGACACATGGAGCAAACCCACCCTTTCCTTTCGAGTCTGTCAGTGTGCATGCCTTGATGACTTTTTCTTCACAGAAGAGAATAATAAAAAGAATTGAATACAGCACGGAGACAGGCTTGTCCCGCCTGGAAATGAGCCCCTTTCTGTTTAGCTTCCCAGATGGGAGCCCGTGTCATGTCAGGACACGTGTGCTCTGGGATGTAAGTTTCCTGAATTCTGAGAATTGTTTTAATTATCTATAATTAACAAGAAGTTAATTAAAAGAATAAAAACTTTCGCGCTCTTTTCACTTAATTTAGGCCTGCATCTATACGCACATGCATACTTATGTAATATAAACACAAGTGTTTTAAACTGTGTTAACTAGTCATAACATAGACTAGAGTGCAGGCCAGACAGTCTAAACCTGATGGACAAGAAACGGGAGACGGTAACAATGAGTATCCGGCATCTGTCTCACAGAATACCTTCCACACTTACCTTTTTCCTAGGCTGATCTGAAACTGTAATTCTATTTCTTTAGTACCTATTGGTTAGAAGGTTCAATTAAATCATCCACAGAAACTATAAATTGCTGTTGATATTTATGCACATTAATATTCACGATCAATAGAATTTTTAAATGTGAGACACATATCCAGTAAGGAATATGCTGTATTTCATTATTGATAAAAGTGAACATTTACAACTAATACCACAAGATTTTAAATGTTACTCTAAAATATTTTATGTCATGCAACTGGGCATGGTGGCTCACTCCAGTAATCTCAACACTTTGGGAGGCTGAGGCAGGTGGATCACCTGAGGTCAGGAGTTCAAGACCAGCCTGGCCAGCATGGTGAAACCCCGTCTCTACTAAAAATACAAAAAATTAGCCCGGCGTGGTGGTACCTGCCTGTAATCCTGGCTACTTGGGGGGCTGAGGCAGAAGAATGAGGCGGGAGAATCCAGGAGGCAAAGGTTGCAGTGAGCTGAGATGGTGTCACTGCACTCCAGCCTGGGCAACACAGCGAGACTCCATTTCAAATAATAATCATAAATTTAAAAAACAAAATATTTTATGTCATCAGGGGTATTAGTAGAAATGTTAATTTATCATCCCATGAACATTTCTGAAAACTTAAAGAGCAGGTTGAAGCATTTAGATAGTGGAAGCACTGCCCATGGGACAGGGCGAGGCTATCTGGGCCGATGGGGAGAGGCCAGCAGCTCATCTCAGCAGAATCAGGCCCACCATGCTCAGGACAGTTGGTGACTCAGCCCAGGTGCCTTTCCGCCTCCCTCTGCTGTCTCTGTCTGTCCCCCGCTGCCTCCTCTCCCCTCTCATTCTCTTCCCCTCTCACTCCGACCCCCACAGAGCCAGACCACGGTCTCCACGCTGTTACCGTCCATGGCCCTGATAATCACACACATCCAAACCAAGCACCGTCATCAGCTTTGCACCATTCTCTATATACGCAGCCTTCGTTTTTTAAAATTACTTCCAGCTCCTTCAATAACAGGTATTCTAATAAACCTAATTCTCCCTCTAGTGGTGATGAGAGGGTTTTCCTGAAATTGCAAGAGCTTCCTCCTTAGGGGCCAGGACAGGTGGCAGTGAAGGCGACCGTGGAAAAGAAAGCAGGAGCGTTCCCTCCCACCCCTTCGGGAGGCATCTGAGGACCGCAGCTGTGCAGCCCGGCTGGGTGGGCAGTGGGCAGAGTGAGGCCGAGATGCTCTGGGTCCCTGAGCCGTGAGCACCCTTCTCCCTCAAATCCTGAAAAGGAAACAGAACCCTCACAGTGCTAGTGCCAGACCGCCAGGCCCAGGGGAAAATTCCTGCTTTGACGAAAACGAACTCTCATCTCAGGGGACCCATTAGAATGCGGGCAATACAGAGATATTCTCTTTTCCCTGAATTCTAAGTGAGTTACATGTAATCTCTATGAGCACCGTGACTTGCATTGCCGGACCCTAAACACCATGACTGCAATTAGCTTTCTCTTAAAAATAAATCAGTGACATATTGCCATTGTCAAACAGCAACTCAATCCTCAGATGTTATTTTCATGTCTTACACCTTCACTTAAAGCAGAGGACAGAGAAAAAGTCTGTGGTATTTTTAAACATTAAAAGGAGTTCCTAAACGTCAGACAGCAGTTAAGGCATCCCCCCTTCTGGGGTAGCTCCCGAACCGTCACCACAAAGCACAGCCACCAGACCTTAGCCAAGGAACTTCCACAGTGGGAAGGCTCTCAGACTGCAAATGAGAATCCCTCTGAATTTCTAAGAGTTTTGAAAGATGACACCGGACATCAGATTATTTCACATGTCTGTAAAACCCATTGAAAGAACAAAGACACTCTCAAAGAAGAGGCATACAGAAATAAAGTTAGAATAAAATTTGGATTTCTTAAACTGATATGCAAGCCCTATTACGAAACCAGGGAATCAACCCAAATAGAGAACAGAGGAAAATCATTATGTCCGCCTTAGCAGAATGGAAGGATGAAGAATCCCAAGAGATTTTGTGTCTATTTGGGAATGTCCAGAAACCAGACTGTTTCAACGCAGAGCCTAAGGTATCTTTCTACCAGGCACAGGCAGCAGTGAGGACAGTAGGCAGGGTTTCTTCCAGAATGTTAAGATTTCAGAGATCTGAACAGCTGATTACCTAACCCTGAACAGCTGGTCACTCGTTTGAGTTGGTGGCAAAAGGTGGCAGAGACGTGACTGCCAGCCTCAGCGTTATGCCCGGTGCTGTCTGCTTCCCTCTCCACCTCTAAACAGAGATACAGTCAGGAAGAAGCAACCTCAGAAAGCATATTTCCATTTTTTTCACCAGCTGCCTCTTGACACAGAAAGAAACTTCGGCTGAAAGGCCCAAGGAGTGTTCTCCCTCGTTGAAAGAGTTGCCTGTGAGTCACAGGTGGAGCTGGCTTCCACATTCAACTCGGCAAAGAGGGGCGTGAAAGGGGGAGGGCCGGGGCTTCCTTCCTCGGGGTCAGCACCTGTGCCCAGCTCAGGAGTGAGAACTGGGGTCCCCTCGTGTTTGGTGGGACTTATTCATGTGTCTTCCTAGCCCCTTGGTAGTTCATAAATAGGAATGGAAAGGCAAGGCCTTGGCTCTGCCTCCTGATGGCGGCCAGGCTGTGCCCGCAAGGATGCCCTCTGTGTCTCCAGCTCCCAGACCCAGGAAACAGAGAAGCGTCTTAACAAGAGGGTTTGGGGTATACCGGCACGCTGAGCCTCTTAAGGTGGGGAAGGAAGAAGAGGCCACACACTGGTCCGATTTTCAAATCACAGGGCAATCTGCAAGCTCCAGCCAGAGACCTCGTCACAGAGAACTAAAGAAAGTAAACCCAGACCCTCCTGCTGTGTTGACAGCAACAGGGGTAAAGCCCTCGGGTCCCACGGTCCTAGCCTCATGCGCCCTCCTCAGCTCTTCCAAGTGATTCCAAGCTCCCATTAGCCGGCTGGTGTTCTGGGAGGAGGGCTGCGGAATTTATGGTGAGATAATTTCTCACATTACCCGGCAGAAGCCTGATTATCCATCTCAACATGCGCGCTTTACGGGGGTGGCAGGGAGTGTGTCCCCGTGTGTGAAAGTCGCGGATCTGGAAGGTGCGCGTGTTTGCAGGACCTGGGAGGAGACTCCTGTCAGCCAAGCAGGGCTTTCTGCCGCCCACCTGGTCCCAATTCCCGCACCTGCCTCCCATTCATTAGCTCTTTTCCACCTGGTCTAAACTGGGCAGCTAGGAACCACGGGTCCCCGGTCCTTGGAAATTTCAGAGTGATGGAAATGCCAGAATGTCAGCCAAAGTGTGTGTGTGTGTGTGTGTGTGTGTGTGTGTCCCCGTGAAACAACCGCGGTGGGAAGGAGGGGTAGGTAAGGAGCCAGAAATGGCCCCTGCCCCCTGATGCTGTTGTTTAAAACCCCTTAAAACCACCAGATCCTAAAAGCGTCAGGAGACAGCCCATCCGAGCCCCCACACTGCCGGCTGCAGACGAGAACGCAGACGGCCGTGTCCGGGGAGCCGGGACAGGTGAGGCGCGGGCCGACCTCCCGTCCCCTCCCGGCCGCCGACGGGGCGCGCCCCCCACCCCTGCCCAGCTCGGGGCCTCCGGGATGCGGCCCCCGCGCCGCTCACTTACCGCGCGTGCGAGCCCGAGAGCAGGCAGAGGAGCAGCAGCAGCCTCGGGGCCATGGTGCGCTGGCGCTCGGGGCGCGGTTCCTCCGGCGCCGACCCGGTCCCCGCCGGCCCCTTCCCCCGGCCTGCGAGGCGGCTGCTGGGCGCGGCGGGCGGGACAGGTGCCTACTCCGGCGCTGGCCGCGCCCCCGGGACGCACCCGGGACGCCGGGACACCGCGGCGCGCCGCCCTCCTCCGCCCGCGCGCTGGCGCCGGTGCGCGCAGCCGGGTGGCTGGAGCGCGGGGCGCGGGGACCCCCTGGCGCGGCTGCCGGGGCCGGGGCTGCGCGCGCGGTGCGGTGGCCGCGCTGGGAGGCGGGGGCAGCCGGCGGCCGTCCCCTGGCAGCGCCTCCGCGGCGGTCCCGGCGGGGAGGAGTTTCCCAATTACACGCCCGACAACGCGCAGGGCGAGGAAGGCGCGGTTTGAATGGACTCGGAGTTCGAGGCCGGGAAGGGGGCGGAGCTCCGAGGGGGAGGGACGCCTGCAGAGGGTCCCCGGGGCCGGCCCCCCGAGAGCGAGCCGCGCTGCGCCTCCCCCTGCGTTGCCACCCCGCGCAGGTGCCGCGGGCGCTCCCCGACCTCCGCGGCCCGGCCTGCCAGCGCGCTCCTCCTGCCGGGTCGGCCGAACTCCTGGCCACTGGGGTTCTGTGCTTGGAAAGGTGGCTTTCGGGGGGAATGTTTGGGGAAAAGGCACCAGAGATGTTCGCCTTTCCTACGGAAGAGAGAGTAACACCTACCGATAAACAGGAGAGGTGGAAAGGAACGCCGAGGGGGGAGCCCGAAGACCCCGAGGCAGGAGCCGAAGACGTGCCGTTTGCGGGAAGCGAGAGGCGCGCTTCGTTCCATGTGTTTCCTGCTCCGAAGACCGAACATGGCATTTACGCCTTCGTTTGTCATCATTCAGAAAGTCGGTCTTGCACCATGTCAGTACTGCGATCTCAGCAGCGTAGGAGATCCACGAGGAATTTTACATTTCGATCACCCCCAAAACGTTCTTAGAAAATATTTTATATTTATAACTGCTCTCCATAGAATTATGTAAGGGTGACAACTGTTTCTTGAATATTGTCAAGTAGCGTTGATCGGCCAGGCACGGTGGCCCACGCCGGTAACTCCAGCACTTTGAAAGGCCGAGGCAGGCAGATCACTTGAGCCCAGGAGTTTGAGACCAGCCTGGGCAATCTGCAAAATACCTGTCTCTACCAAAAAACGCAAAACAATTAGCTGGGCATGGTGGCATGGGTTTGTATTCCTCTCTGTGCTCCTCCTTTTTTTCCGGATAGGCATGGAGTGCAGTTGTTGATGACAATATTGTTTTTTCACAATGGAGCTGTCACCTCCCTGGCATTGCCCGCTTCCTGAGGTGCTGAACTCACCCAGCGTCCCGCTTTCCAGGACTCTTTCTGGCATTCTCGCCCTCCTCTGCCCAGCACATCTCTCTTACTTCGGTGCACCTGCCGCCCTAAGGTCCCCTCTTTCATGAAGACTCTGACACTCCTGAATTCTTCCACCTCCAACACCTTTACCAGTTCTTTACGCTTCAGGGGAATATGAGCCTTTGTCATACTCTGACCTAATCTCTAATTTTCTGTAACAAAATCCACGCACTTACAATGAGAACACACGGACACAGGGAGAGGAACATCACACACTGGGGCCTGGGGGTTGGGGGGGGTAGGGGAGGAATAGCAGGGGGTGGGGGAATTGGGGAGGGATAGCATTAGTAGAAATACATAATGTAGATGACGGGGCGATGGATGCAGCAAACCACCACCATGGCACGTGTATACCTATGTAACAAACCTGTACGATCTGCACGTGTACCCCAGAACTTCGAGTATAATAAATAAATAAATATCAATTAGATGATTTATTGTTCCTTCACTGCTTATAGAAATATGTCATCTGCATATATTTCTATAAGCAATGAAGGAACAATACTTCTATTCTGTTTGAGCTCTAAGCTCCAGAAAGACTGAGTTGAGTCTGGCTCTGTAACCCAGCTGGAGTGCAGTGGCGTCATCTCGGCTCACTGCAACCTCCACCTACTGGGTTCAAGTGATTCTCCTGCCTCAGCCTCTGAGTAGCTGGGATTACAGGCGTGCACCACCACACCTCAGTAATTTTTGTATTTTTAGTAGAGGTGGGGTTTCACCATATTGGCCAGGCTGGTCTGGAACTCCTGACCTCAAGTGATCCTCCCGCCTTAGCTTCCCAAAATGCTGAGATTACAGGCATGAGCCACCACACCCAAATGTGCTGCAAGAAAGCTGCAGATACAATTTTTCTGTGCCTCCCTTCTTAACACAGTAATAGGAACATAGGTAAAAATAACCATCAGACATTGATAATATAAGAGGGGCCAGGGCCAAGGAGAAGGCTTTGCATTGACCGACTCATTTTAACTTTCACAACATTTTTTCCATTTTGCATATAGAAAAAAAGCACAGAGAAGTTAAGTCCCTTCCCCCAAGATCACACAGCTAGTAGGCTGAGGACAGGGGTTAAAGGCCAGGCAGTTGACTCCGGTGTTCCCTTGCTAGTCAGTACGCCATCTGCCTGGTAGGAGCTCAGCAGACATTTGCTGTTTGGCTATTTGGTGAACGTTTTGGACTCCTTATCATATTATTTATTTTTTGAGCATGAGTAAAAATACAAATTGTTTGTAATAGACGTAGACTGTTACTTGACTGATTTTGTAAAATATCCGTAAACAAAAAGTGTCCTGGATGTCTTTGTTGCTTTTTTTTTTTTTTAACAATTCAATCAGTGAACAACAACAACAAAAAATGCAATACTGTTTGTACATCCTGTGCTCTTTATTCTTTTCCTTTCTCGCATATCTCAATGTGCCATTATGATGAACGAATGAGACGTGATGCCCTCTGCCCTTTGGAATGCCCGGCTTCATTTATTAGACTGGGTAGGTCCGCTTGATAGAGCTGAACATGTTTCCTTGGAAAGTCCTTCCCCCTCTTCCTGGAAGGAGTTTTTTTTTTTTTTTTAAATAACGGAGTCCCTCTGCCGCCAGGCTGGAGGGCGGTGGCGCCGTCTCGGCTCACTGCGACCTCCGCCTCCCGGGTTCGAGCCAGTCCTCTGCCTCGGGCTCCCGAGTGCCTGGGAGCGCAGGCGTGCGCCACCGCGCCCCGCCGGGATTTTGTTTTCTAAATGCAAACGCGCTGGGAGGTGGGGGGAAAATCACAGCAGGCTTTCTGCGCCCGAAGGGTGAAAGCGAAATGCGAGGTGGACAATCTGCAAAGGGGAAGCCCGGGCTCGGCCGCGCTGCGGCCCCCGCGGACCCGCAGGGGCGTGCGGAGCATGCGCAGTGCGCGCCTCTCCGTCCTCCGCCGGGAGGGGCGCGCGGGAAGGGCAGGGAAGCGGAGTCGGTGAAGGGCTCTCGGTCCTGGGAGGGCAGGGTGTGGATCGCTGCCCAAAGCCCAGGCGCACGCGGCGCTGACGGCAGAGCAGCTCCAGCCGGGCGCGCGGCGCGCTTCGGCCTCGGCGCCGGGTCCTCGGGTCCTCGGGTCCTCGGGTCCTCGGGTCCTCGGGTCCTCGGGTCCTCGGGTCCTCGGGTCCTCGGGTCCTCGGCTCCTCGGGTCCTCGGCTCCTCGCGTCCTCGGCTCCTCGGGTCCTCGGCTCCTCGGCTCTGGGGAAGACGCGGCCGCGCTGCGCACGCGGGGCTGCCCCGGCTTCTGCTTTGAGAAACGCCCCTCCCCCTCCCAGCACTGAACCTCCGCGTGACGTGGTGTTTTGCGGTTTCCTGTTTTGAAACCGCCTTTCCCTTGTCGATCAAAACAGTCCTATCAAAAGAGAACGTTCACGCCTGGAGGCCGAGGCGGGCGGATCACCTGAGGTCGGGAGTTCAAGACCAGCCTGACCAAACATGGTGAAACCCCATCTAAAAAAAAAAAAAAAAAAAAAAAGAGACAGAGAACGCGCGCGCGACAGAAACGCACCGATCCACACGGTATGGCTCGGTGGGGTGCCGCGCGTGTGTGTGGCACGTGGATTATTACGTGTAACAGAATCACAGCGTTCCCAGGGGCTGCGCCACCTTCGGGTCAATACGGCGTCTTCTGCTGCGGCCCCGCCTTGCACCTCGCACACGTGGTCGGGCAGTGCTGCCCACGGACCCTCGGCTTCCCCCAGGGCGGTGTCTGGGAGATGCGCCCACACCGCGGCCTGAGCGGCCTTCGTGACTCGCCGCCGCCGGGCACGCGGGTCGCCGTGGCAGTGTTCCTCGGTATTCATTTCTTCCTGTGCCAGTAGACACTCGGTCTGTTTGACACTTGGGGATGTTACGAATAAAGCTGGCATGTGAAATCATCTGGTCTTCGGAGGGACATCTGTGTTCATTTCTCTGGGGACTGAACACAGAATTTGCAGATCACAAAGATCACATGCGTTTAGTGGTGGCAAGTATCACTGCAGCGATTTCTCAAGCGGTTACTACGATCATCACCCACCGGCCACCGGGGAGTTCCCGTGTACACCCTTGAGGACATGCGGCCTGGCCATTCTGTCACCGTTCTGAGATTTCATTCTAATTTCGATTTCATGGACCTTCTTTCCCATTTTACCATTGGAAAATCTTCTTTTATAAAGTGTCATTGAAGTCTTTCGCCCGTTTTAAAACTAGACTGTTTGCCTTTTTATTTGTAGAAGATCTTTTTGTGTTTTTATGTTTTTACCATTACATCTCTTGCTTTAAGAAATATCAATATTACACAAATATATGATTTACAATATCCCCATTAGGGCAAGACAAAGAATAGGGCCATAAAATAAAATGTCTTCTAGGCATTTATTATACCAAGCATGTAAACTGTTGTTCTCATTATGACGTAAGAATAATACTCTTTTGATGACAAAAGATACATTGTATTGGCTCAAGGTCCACGGAAGAGCTTCCAGGAAGTTTAGAAGTGAATCTGGGCATGCTTTCTATACAATGAATAGAACAGTAGCGATCTCTGCTACTTCTTGAGCATAAACTATCCGTTTACATAAACTTAAGTAAAAGACTTAAGTCATTTATTGAGAATAAACAACATTTTAGAAACTAGTTAACACCACTAGTCCAAATCTGGTTTTTACTTTCTTGAATATGTCTAAGAAATTTCAACATGAAGAATA